AATTTTTTACAAAGATAGAGATTTCATAAGGTCTCACGGGATAAAAAAAAATTTTTCGTAAATTTTTATGAGAAGAAAATGCTCCCCATCGTTACGGGTGGGACCTTCGTGGGATTTCATGAGAATCTGGACTAATTCTCATCCGTACTCATGCTTGTTCTTGGTTTGGGATGGAAATTTGATTTGCGTGGGAAATAGGTTGGAAAGTTATGTTCGTTATGATGTGGAAGGAATTAGTTTGTCTTTCTTGTACGAAATCCACTAATCTAAGTTCCTAATCCATGTTAATGGACAAAATGTTTCTTGTTTGATTGGATTAACCAAGTTTATCCTATAATTGTCGGTCCAATTTGGACTATTATCTCATAGATATTAGCTCATATTTTAACAGAAAAAAAGACAGCTAAATGGGAATTTGAAGAAAAAATACAGTTAAAAGCAAGTATGTAGGCATGACTTATTAGTTATTAGAATTGTTTTCTTTACAAAAACAGCAATGGAAGTACTTTGAACTTGCATTTACAATATGGTTCAGATCATTTCTTTATTGTTTTGACCAATTACAGATGTGAAAGGAAAATTCTGAATCAATGAACTAATAATTCTATTTCATTATTGTATTTCTGAGTCAGCTTGATTAAAGGACTCTCAATTTACAAACACCCGCCATGTAGAAAGAAAACTTTTGTACAATAAATGTGTTGATACTTATGCGGGATGAAGAAAAAAATAACATACACAAAGAAAAAAAAAATCCCAAAACTGGGCTCAAAGTGACATTGTGAAACAGACAGAATACACACAGAAGCCATTCTTCCAACAATTCAGGAAGAGTGGGATTAGTATGGATGCGAAAGCCAAGGATGCTTGAGTGCTTCCCTTGCTGTTGGACGCCTTTTGGGATTGATTTGAAGCAAATGTCTAAGGAAGTCAATAAAACCGACATCTGAAACTTGAAGGTGATGCTGCAGCGAGGATTCCTCGGGAATTATGTATTCTAGTTGGTTTGTCTCCTGTATACAGAAAGCCAGATAAGCCAGAGCAATTTTAACTACTAACAGTGATTGTTCAGAAATTCTATAAAGTTTTTCAGGATCTTGAAAATATGGATCCAGCTCATATGGTTACTTCATCAGCAAACCAGAAGTAAAGAGATTGGTTTGGTATATACATAGGGTAGAAATACCATGCAACGATTTTGGTCCTCAAGAGCTCATTGAACTTGAACCATATTAGAACTTGAACCATATTAGAACTTCTATGGGCTTCTTTCACCAATAAGTGGTTCCTATTCTGATATTCATTGTTCTGAGATTAATCTTAGAAGGGGAAACCATATACTATATCAGAATGAGAGATATCGGTAAACAAACCTCATTCATAAGGTACAAATCATATTCTTCGGTGAAGTACTTGTATGTTTCCTGCCCCTTCAGCAACATCTCCAGATCAACAGGGCCTAGCAATCCGATCATGCGTGCAAGGATCATTACAACTGCATCATTTGGAAAGAGCACCTGGAAAAGACGTAAATGCTCAAAATGAATAACCAGTTCTCTTTGACAGAATAAACGTCAATAATGTAGGATGGTGCCAAATTAAGACATACTTCACCAGAGTAGAGTTCAGCTAGGATACACCCAAGAGACCACAAATCAATCTTTTGATCATATGGGAGGCCAAGAATGACTTCAGGGGCTCTATAAGAGCGAGATTGCACATATAGGCACAGATTGTCTGTTTGAAAGCAACTGCTTCCTAGATCAATAATCTTTATCTCGCATCTTCTGTAACTTTTGATGAGGACATTCTCAGGCTTTAGATCACAGTGAATAATGCCCAAGTGATGTAAATAATCCAATGCCTCCAAACACTGACGGGTTATGATCTGTGCAGAAGAACAAGCAAACCACCTGTTACTGTGTTTAATTATAGTAGTGTTCAATTAAAAAGAAAATTACTAATCATTCATAAAGAACTCAGATCACAGCTAAAGTTAGCAAAAACACAAAGAACTGCAAGAAAAGATAAAGCAGAAATGAAGAAAATATGAATTCAAAGGAAGAGTCAAGTATGCCAACAGCTACATTGAACAAACCTGCAACCTGCTTAGGGTAAAGTAGGCTTCTCCACCAGATTCTTGATTAAATTTCTGAAATTCATACAAGTTTGCTCGAAGGAGTTCACAGACAATGAACAGATGCTCCTATAAGGATGAGATATCATAAGCATTACTCCATGATAGACAAAATTACTTTATAACCAAAACATTCTGATTACTCATCTAGTCATCTTCATCCTTCCATGCTTTGTAAATGTACCTGATAATAGAAGTAGTCATAAAGGCGCAAAATGTGGTGTTTATCAGCAGGGTCATGCTTGTTGACAAGCTTTAAAAGTTTAATCTCATCTAAACTCTGGTCCAAAAAGTCTTTATCGTTTTTAATGATCTTCAGGCAAACATCCATTCCATTATGGAGATCCCGTGCCTGAACAACCTTGCTGAAAGCAGCTGAACCAAGGTATTCTGTAACATAGTATCTGCCTGCAATGACAGTGTTCATCACGATAGCAAAATCCTTGTTTTCTTCAAATCCAGTCCTGTAGATGGCATACAAATTAAGTGTCTCAATTGCTAAGTGATAACCAGCAATGCAACAACTTTAAATCACCACCAAGAATTTCAGCATTAGAATTCCATGAATACAAGACCATGACAAGACCTAGATAGGATGATAAGTGGTTCAGATATCTATCACAGTAAGTCTGCCCCTTCTCTCACCAATCCTTTGCTCAGCAAAATTTTAGACTAGCTAGCCTAACAATGAAACATGATAGACAGTATGACAGCTTAAGTACATGTAACAGACCTGTTTTTTCGGTGAATTATTCGCAAATTGAATACTTCATATTCATCCTCACTGGTGTTATACATTGCAAGTTCATCAGAATCATTAACCTCCTCATCTGCAGCACCCTTAGGTTCGAGCTTTCCATTTTCAGTATCTTCAACTCCGTAACTTGTGATTATATTAGGCAAGAAATCTGTCTCAGCAATTTTATGAGGAAAGTCAGAACTTCCTTTAAACCCCCAAACCCATTCATCTCCAGAACCCTTTTTAACAGAGTAAGAATTAGGACTAGAATTTAACTGAAGAACATTCAAACAAGTTTCTTTAGAGCTGATGCAGCTGAAGTTCACTGGATCCTGATAGTAAAACCCGTCTGCTCCTTCAAAGCATTTGCCAAGGGGGGAAGAACACCCATAATCAGAACAATCCCTGATCTCTTGCTCAATGCCCCCATCAAGATTGCTACTTTTATCCCCAAAATGAGAATCCATAAGTTCCATATCTCTTTGCCATTTATGGTGGTCATGTTCAGAACAAACGGAATTTGTGACAAACTTATCCTCACTTGGGCAGCCAAAGAAGTCTGGGCCATCAAAAGAAGGAGTCATGAAGTCATCTTCATCTTTCTCTTCATACCAATACAGGTCGTTTTGGATGTACTCACGAGCCGTGCCAAATTGGGATAATCTATCCGATGAAGTATCTGAGTTATCCTGAGATGCAGAATGAAGTCCATATGGATTCACAAATTCTGCCAAAAAAAAATAAAAAAAAAGAGAAGAAAATTATAGTATCATACCAATTAGACTATTCTCATGTTATATAAAAACATCCCAACTAGAAATCCAAATTAGGGGGGGTGGGAATGGGGATTCTTCCATGGATATGACAAAGAACAAAAGAATTGTCAGAATATATAGTAATGAAAAACTGTTCTCATTTAACCAGGGAAATTCAGAGAATGAACATATGAAGGAAAAACCAAACGGGTAGTATAAAGTGAGAAGATTTATGTATTGCTACCTATAAGCAGCATAATTAGAATCTAATTTGGAAAATCTTCAAAACAAGCAGAATTCAAGCACAAACAAGTCCCAAAAACAGCAAGTAAAAACAATGCAGAAACCTAAAAGTTACCTGAAGAACAGTCACCACTAGCAGTAGCGGAAGACCCCAAGCTCACAAATTCTTCATCATCATCGCCATCAGAATAAGACCCACCAATCAATTTCCCCTTTTTCTCATTCTCCAGTCGCCGGAGAGCAGCCGGAATCCTCACCGGTGGCGGCATGGGAATCAAGAAACTCTCAAAATCAAAAGCACCCATTTGGCCCCTCTCCACCATGTCCTCCTTCAAGGCCATCTCCGCCTCCCTCAACCCATTCCTCCTCAAGAATTCCAGCACTGCTTCCAAGTCAGACGACGCCATGAATTAGTGAAGCAAGAAAACCGGCGGAGCGGCAGAGACATGTGAATTGAACAAATTCCTGAGGTCAAAAGTAGAAACCATAAATATATCATACTTCAAGTTATCCATGCTGTGCTCTTTCTGAAGTCTCTGGAGTTAGAGGGACGCATGTCTTCCTTCCTTACCAAACTTACAGGGGACGCCGGACGTTTTGCCAAGGCGGTGTCGGGGCCCACCGAGAGTGACACGTAATGGGACCATTTTAATTTTGGAGTGAGTTTAAATGACCCCTCAACTAAGCCATTTGATCCAATCAAGCTCCTTTGTTAACTTTTGTCCCAAAATAAGCCTGTCAAGGTAAATAATAGGTTTAAGTACCATTTTGGTCCCTCAACTTGTCACTTTGGTACCAAAATTGTCCCTCAGCTTTAAAAAGTACCAAAATTATCCTTAAACTTTC